ACCAGCAGCCAGGAAATCAAAAGACAGATTATATTGGGAAAATTTGCTATCAGGGACCTCTCCAGGGTACTGAAGAGCAATGATATCAGTCTAGAGACTAAGATGCGCCTGATCCTGACCATGGTCTTCACAATTACTTGCTATGCATCAGAAGGCTGGACAATGACTAGAGATGATACGAGGAGATGACAGAAAATGAGAGGCCTTTGAGCTGTGGTGCTGGAGAAGAGTATTGAATATGCCATGGACTGCTAGGAGAACAAACAGGTTAATCCTGGACAGGGTGAAAATAGGCTGCTCCTTGGAGGCAAGGATTTTGAAGCTCTGTCTGACATACTTTAGGCATGCTGCAAAGAGGGACCAGTCCTGATAGAGGGACATCATGCTTGGGAGGGTGGAGGGACAGTGAAAGAGAAGATCTTTGATGAGATGGATTGATTCAGTGACTGCAGTAATGGGGGTAAGATGAGTCAGAGACAATAAGGCTGGCTCATGGCTGAGCTGGGTTCAGAACTGTTGTACACAGGGTCACTATGAGTCGCAAGCGAGTCAACGGAACGTAATAACAACAACATGACGGATGGAGAAAGGATTGAAATTGTCAACTATTTCATCTTACCTGGATCAACAATCAACATCCTTGGTAGCAGCAGTCAGGAGATGAGAAGTATTGCACTGGGAAAGTTTGCTGTCTGAGTCCTCGCCAAATTACTGAGGAGCAATGATGTCAGTTTGAAGACAAAGGAGTGCTTGATTCAGGCCATGGTCTTTTCAATCACTTGCTAAGCATTTGAGAGCTGGATGGTAAATAAGGATGACAGAAGAAGAATCGATGCCTCTGAACTGTGGTGTTGGAGAACAGTACTACATATCTCAAGAACTGCCAATAGAACAGACAGATACATCTTGAAGAATATGCAGTCAGAATGTTCCTGGAGGCAAAGATGGTGAAGTTTCATCTCTCATACTTTGGGCATGTTGTTAGGAGAAGCTATTCCCTGGAGAGGGACATCATGCTTGGAAACGTGGAGGGTCAGTGAAAGAGAATAAGACCATCCACGAGACAGATTGACACAGAGAGTTAGCAAAGGGCTCGTGTGTCAGAGATGATGAAGGTAGCAGAGAACAAGGTTCAGGTCTGTCCATAAAGTCACTGAGTCATACTCAACTTAATGACACTTAACAACAACAATCAACAAAGCCAGAGAGTAGGTTTTGTTTTTACATTATGATTAGATCAATCCCTACTTACCACATTCTCAATTGTTTTTTTCTATGAGGGCAATAACACCTGGTTAATTCTGGCATAGAGACTGAGAAAATGAAAAAGGATGGAAGGAGATGGCATCTTGTCTTGTGTTCATCTAAAAGCCTTGGCATCACCCTTTCGTATTCCTCTTCCACTCAACTTGTGGACTTGTCTCTGGATGCTTAATAGTTCTGGATGAGGAAGATTCCCCATGACTTGATCGTTGCTCAAACGGGTGATGAGTACATCAAAGGCCGCCACATTATTCTACTTCTGTGTATGATTTAATTTTCCATCATGAAAAGATAAAACAAACAATGGCTCCTCATTTCACTCAGGAGAGAAACCCAAGTCCTTACGCCGACCCTCACGGTCCTCCTACCTGATTCCCCCTCGTCACCTGTCTGCATCTTCTCCTGTCTCCTCATTCACTTCTGCAGCTCCTTCCACTGGCAGAACATGCCAGGCACTCTTCTGCCTCAGGGCCTTTGCTCATGCTGTCCTCCTGCCCCTGTCTAGAATCCTCCTCTCCCAGGGCTTGAACCTGCTTCAACATGATCTTCTCAGTGGGTCTGTTCCGTTGTCTGTCGTTAACGTTGCTCCAACTCACAGCAACCCTAGGAACAACAGAAACCTGCCCATAGTCCATTTCAAAGCATTACCGACTTTGTCACCTTCCATGCCCTCTTTCCTGTCTCTATAGTTATTATTAATTTTTTAATTATTAATTTTAATGGAAGTTTACAAAGACTTTAGACTTTTATTCATCCATCGTTGCACTTTTCTCTCTGCCCCCTGGGTACCCCTAGTTAGCTCTTCTTTTTGAAAAGAAAAATTCTTTCATTGTTATACAATCCCCTCACGTCCACTCCACTATGCAACCTTCATTCTGGACTCCTGTCATGACAATAGTACCTAATCATATATCCCTTTTAAACAGTTCTCTCCCTCATCTGTTTCAATGCAGTATACATAATTTATCCCCTCTTTCTCAGCCTCCCCCCAACCCCGATGTCAATCCTATTTTACAACAGTGGCACTATGCAGTATTTGTCCTTTTATGACTGAGATATTTCACTGAGTATATTTATTATCATTTGACGTCCTGTATCATTATTTCTTTGCTGTTGTCTCCTCCTCTTCCTCAGAACATAAGCTCCGAGAAGTCAGGAATTCCTACTGAATCCCTAGCAAAAAAGACCTGGGCACAGCAGGTTCTCAATGAATGAATGAGCAGCATATAACTTATTCTAGGGGTTTGCCTGGTAGGGAGTGAGCACTATGGGATTCATCATAAGCTAAAAATATCTCACTGAGTCATCTGATAAATCTAAGAGAATTGTTCCATCAGTACCTTCTGTCCTGATCTTTGTGAAGTGAGAATATGATTAACTAGACATTGTGGCTTATCTGTAGGGCGTGGCAAGGCTGAGAGGGATTCTCATGGCTTCTGGAGGTGCGCAGAATGCACCTGGGTTCTCTTGGTGGGGTGAGCCAGAGATGGCTGAAGACAGTGACGGGGAGCCACAGGCAGGGACATGACTGAGCTCATGAAAGGGCAGGTGATTCGGTCCTGACCCTGCCTCAGATTCTCCCCAAGTGCCCCCTCCCCCAGTCTGGGGTTATAAACAAGTGACTCAGAAGAATGATGGGGGAGTGTCCAAAAACAGTTCACAGCAGGGCCCCAGAGGCTAAATTTAACCTCCGGCTGCAGCCTCTGGCACTTAGGGAAGAGTTAATCTTGGTGGCTGAGGCAGATGTGCGTGTATATGGGGGGGGGGGAGGGTCAGGTGTCCAGCATTGAGACTGGTTGTCCAACGTCTCAGCCTGGACCCCTCAGACCACAGCCAGGGCATAGGAACCATGGTACGGCAGAGATGTACCACCTCTCTGTTCTGGGCATAAAACCCTTCCTCATACAGGCTCAGGTAGCAACAACAATCAGTTCCCGGAATAGTTACAATGTGAAACTAATTTTATTTAATATAAAAGTTTCATTTTATACTGACTGGTTTACTTACAAAGTTTGTATACAGTGTTGGGATCTTTCCTTTACTCACCCTTCCTCCTTCCAGACATCAAATTATATGACCCTATGATTAAGCTCTCCCTTGCCAGCCCACCCTCACCCCTCAGCTCCCTATGTCCTGCCTAGAACATGTTCTACAATAATGTTCTTATACAGTATTTGTCCTTATGGGACTGAGTTAGTTCACTTAGAATAATGTTCTACAGTCCCTCCCAAGCTAAGTATTAATTTTCATAATCATTGCTCCTAAAAGCGTTATTTTTTTTTAATATTAGAATACAGCAGGTCACTCCCTTCAAGTCTGGCTTACTGCCATTGGGTTGGTTCCAATTCACAGCTGGCCCTCTGGGTTTCCAACGCTGTAAATCACATGGGAAGACACTCTCCATCATTCTTCCTCTGAGCCACTGGTGGATTTGAACCGCCAGAGACGCAGCCCCTGGGTTAGCACTGTTACCCTGTATGGACTACTCTGACAGATCTCCCAGCCACTCCCCTGTTGTTGTGTAATTCTCAAGCCAGAACTGACTCATAGCTGACCCTCTAGTGGGTATTCAGAGGCTGTAAATGTCACAGGAGGAGGGAAATGACCATCCTTCTCCTGTGGAACGGCTGGTGGATTTGAACCATGCGCCTTTGGGTTGGCACTACAGTTCCTTACCACTAAGCCACCAGAGCTTTCTAGTTATTCCCATTGTGTTCTTTTTTTTTTTTCAATTAATTTCAATGAACATTTACAGAGATTTTGGATTTCCATTCATTCATTGTTGCACTTTTTTCTCCATCCCGTTGTGTTCTTACGTCCCTTGCAACTCACAGCGACCCTATATACAACAGCTCTGAACCCTGCTCTATCTTGAGCCAATTCATTGCCTGCAACACATCTACTGTGACTATCCCAGTCAGAGTCAATCCATCTCATCCAAGATATAAAAAAGCCTCTGGGTCTTTAAACACCTTGAATAATAGAGTCCTAGGAAATGGATTTTCTAGCATGATCAACACCTTTGCATGCTGAAACCCTAGCACAGTGCTCTTCCAGAAACATGGCATTCCAGAGCTTCTGAACCTCAGCACAGCGAACTGAGGCTTCTGGATCTTAACACCTCACCTCCTTGTTGTGCATAAGGGGGAAACTGAGGCTCAAAAGAGAAACCTGCCTTGCCCAGACTCCACAGGAAAGTGGTATCCTGTTTACCTAGGGCACCTTCTTGTCTTCTTGACGTCCAAGGATGGGCTTAGAGCTGGGGCAGAAAAGGAAAAGTTCTTCCTATTCCAACTAGGCTCCTCTACAGGATGAATGCCCAAGGCCAAGTTCAAAGCAGTCACCAGGGGTGGCGAGTGGAACAAACTAGAGAAGGAGGAGATACTGGACAGAAAGTTCTGGAAGAGAGAAGATCCTCAAAGAGGGCCTCCCTGGCTTCTCCTTCCCTGGGCTGAAAGCCAGAGCTTGCTCACCTAGACATCACTCGACCAAGGCGTCCTGAGTCAAGGCCTGGCTGTGACCCATTTAGAAACGAGGGAGTGAGGCTCTGATCTTTGAGGGGAGGGTCCAGACACCCTTCCACCACCCCACCCCATAAGCCCCAGGGGCTGAGTCAAGGCTGCTGAGGTAGAGGACGTCTGGTCTGCCCAGCTGTCCCCTCCACGTCACCCGCAGGAGGCTGGGCTGCTCGCCTTACAGGGCCTGCGCCACCTCTATATATAATCCAGCAGGACAGCTGCGTTGTATGTGCCCCAACAAGAAGGCAGAGGAGCAGCGAAGGAGACCGAGCGTCCCAGCCACCCTTCCCACCATGGCGCTGGGCCTGGAGCAGCTCGAGGAGCAGCGTTTATACCAGCAGACCCTCCTTCAGGATGGACTCAAGGACATGCTGGACCACGGCAAGTTCCTGGACTGTGTGGTGCGCGTGGGAGAGCGCGAATTCCCCTGCCACCGCCTGGTGCTGGCTGCCTGCAGCCCTTACTTCCGGGCGCGCTTCCTGGCGGAGCCCGAGGCCGCGGGCGAGGTGCGCCTGGAAGAGGTGTCCCCGGACGTGGTGGCCCAGGTGCTGCACTACCTGTACACGTCGGAGATCACGCTGGACGAGGCGAGCGTGCAGGAGCTGTTCGCCGCGGCGCACCGCTTCCAGATCCCGTCCATCTTCACCATCTGCGTGTCCTTCCTGCAGAAGCGCCTGTGCCTCGCCAACTGCCTGGCCGTCTTCCGCCTCGGCCTCCTGCTCGACTGCGCGCGCCTCGCCGTGGCCGCCCGCGACTTCATCTGCGCGCGCTTCGCCCTCGTGGCGCGCGACAACGACTTCCTGGGGCTCTCGGCCGACGAGCTCATCGCCATCATCTCCAGCGACGGGCTGAACGTGGAGAAGGAGGAGGCGGTGTTCGAGGCGGTCATGAAGTGGGCGGGCAGCGGGGACACCGAGGCGCGTGCCGAGCGCCAGCGCGCGCTGCCCACCGTCTTCGAGAGCGTGCGCTGCCGCCTGCTGCCGCGCGCCTTCCTGGAGAGCCGCGTGGAGCGCCACCCGCTGGTGCGCGCGCAGCCCGAGCTCCTGCGCAAGGTGCAGATGGTGAAGGACGCACACGAGGGCAAGATGACCGTGCTGCGCAAGAAGAAGAAGGAGAAGGGGGCGGCCGGGGCCAAGGCGCCCGACAAGGACAAGGACAAGGCTGAGACTGAGAAGGAGGACGAAGAGGAGGGCGAACGGGTCCTGCCCGGAATCCTCAATGACACCCTGCGCTTTGGCATGTTCCTGCAGGACCTCATCTTCATGATCAGTGAGGAAGGCGCCGTGGCCTATGACCCCGCCGCCAATGAGTGCTACTGTGCCTCTCTCTCCACGCAGATCCCCAAGAACCACGTCAGCCTCGTCACCAAGGAAAACCAGGTGTTTGTGGCCGGGGGCCTGTTTTACAACGAGGACAACAAGGAGGATCCTATGAGTGCTTACTTCCTGCAGGTGCCTTAGCAGCTGGGAGAGGGGGACGCGGGGGCCAGGGTTTGGGCCCTGGGAGCAACCCTCGGGGGCCAAGAGACGACTGTCTCTACTTGTCAGGGACAATAACTGGGTCTAGGAGAAAATGGAGGTAAGATAGGATGACTGTAACCTGGGGACAGGCAGGAAGAGAGCAGTACGATTTGGTGCCTGTTTCAGGACAGGGCTAATCCTGAGATGGGAGGTTCTGTACATGAGTTTAGAATGAAACACAGAGAAGAGGAGCAGGCCAGGGCAGGGGTCCTGGGCAGGGTCTCAGCGTCAAGGCCGTGATTGGAGTCTGGGACACAGAACTTCCCACGGGGACCATGCTTCCATTATACAAATGGAGAAATAAGAGCTTGTAAAGTGCCTGGTTCAAGTCGGGGTGTGGCTGTGGCATCGCAGACATCTAAGACAGTTTCCAGGAAACAGTGAGTCTTGTTGTTACTGTTGTCAGGTGCTGTCCAGTCAAGTATGACTCATGCCGACCCTGCCCTGTGCCATCCTCACAATCTCTGACACCCTCGAGCCCTTTGCTTCTGTTGCTGTCTGTCCACCTGCTTGAAGCTCATCCTCTCCTGTGCTGTCTCTCCACCTTACCCTTTGAGTCTTGCTAGTTGCGTGGAATTTGAAGACATCGTAGTGTTTCTCAGTGCCAGATGAGGGGGAGATGCTGTAAGGGGTGGACAGAAAAGAGTCTGAGTGCTTTGTTCCTGAGGCCTGAGCAGCTGTTTGGGGGTGAAGGGCAGTGAGTGACACAGCTACGCCATAGGGCCGCTTCCCTGGCTCTCCTAGAATGGTGGTCTTTGTGCACCTATGTCATCATTTCCACCAGAGTCCCCAATTTTACACTAAGGTGGGGAGGGGTGCTGTGAGGTGAGGTCACTGGGGCACACTGATCCTCCCTCCCTGGTGGCAAGGATGTCTCTGTGGCCGGGGAACTCCTCTGTGACTGGTGGGACTCCTCTGTGGCCGGGTGACCCCTGTGTGGCTGGTGGGACTCCTCTGTGGCTGAAGGACTTCTCCGTGGCTTGTGGAACTGCTGTGGGGTCAGGGGACTTCTCTGTGGTCAGGGGACCCCTCTGTGGCCAGGGAACCCCTCTGGACCAGGGTACTTCTCTGTGGCTGGGGGGACTGTTATGGGGCCAGGGGACTACTCTGTGGATAGGAGACGCCTCTGTGGCTAGGGGACCCCTCTGTGGCTGGTGGGACTGTTCTGTGGCTAGGGGACCCCTCTGTGGCCAGGGAACTCCTCTGTGGCTAGGGAACTCCTCTGTGGCCAGGGAACTCCTCTGTGGCTGAAGGACTCCTCTGTGGCTGAAGGACTCCTCTGTAGCTGGTAGGGGCCAGGTAGCAGAGGCGGTAGCTGATGGGACCACTTGGCTTGGCCCCACAGTTTGACCATTTGGACTCTGAGTGGCTGGGGATGCCACCGCTGCCCTCACCGCGCTGCCTCTTCGGCCTGGGGGAGGCTCTCAACTCCATCTACGTGGTTGGCGGCCGAGAGCTGAAGGACGGGGAGCAAAGCCTGGACTCCGTCATGTGCTACGACAGGCTGTGAGCACGGGGCTGGGAGCGCCTGGGTCCTGGGGGCGGGGCCGCTAGAGGTGGGGAGCTGGCCCTAGTCGGTGGAGAATTAGAGTTAACCCGTAGGTATTAGAGTCCAAGGTTGGGATGGGGAGCGAGGCCATGCGGTACAAGTGAGGAGCTGAGTCGCCTAGGGGCTTCCTGTAATGTGTGCATCTGTTTATACGCAGTTAGTGGGTATATGAATGGACACGCAGGTTCTCAACACACTGAGCCGAATCCTAACCTCAACTCCATCCTCTCCTGTCTCTTCCAGGTCGTTCAAATGGGGGGAGTCAGACCCGCTGCCTTACGCCGTGTATGGTCACACGGTACTCTCTCACATGGACCTTGTCTACGTCATTGGTGGCAAGGGCAGTGACAGGTGAGGCCTTCAGACTTGTGTCAGGTGGCAGCAAGATTAGAGGTAGAGCAGAAGCCATCTCCCTGAGGCTGTCTGCACTTGGCCGAGCTGCGAGGCCGGGGGTGGGGAGAGAGGGGTGCATGTCGGGAGGCGCTGGGTGGAGGAAGCAGTGGTCCTCCTCCGCCTTCCGTCCACTCACTCACACCACCATCTTCCCCCTCCCACAGGAAGTGCCTGAACAAGATGTGCGTCTATGACCCTAAGAATTTCGAGTGGACGGAGTTGGCACCCATGCAGACTGCCCGCTCGCTCTTCGGGGCCACTGTCCACGATGGTCGTATTTTTGTGGCTGCCGGGGTCACCGACACTGGGCTGACCAGTTCTGCCGAGGTGTACAGCATCGCAGACAACAAGTATGGCTGCCTTCCCATCCCCTTCCTCCCTGGAAAGGCAGGACTCAGGGCCCACTGCAGGGTCCAGTGCTGTGTGTCGTTAGGCCTGTGTCCTCCTTCCCCATGTCTGGCCAGGCGGGACCCCTGGAGCCCATCTTGGATCTCAGCTGTTGAGCTTAGACGGCTCTGCAGAAAAAGCCCCTCTCCCCTGACCAGCCGTGAGGTAGGGAAAGGGCCTCTTCTAAAGGTGGGACAGAGTTTATCGCCAGTGAAGGCTGTGAAAGGTGCCTCACAGGGGTTGTTATTGTTAGGTAACTCTTGAATTGAGGAAGGTCTAATGGCCTCCTGAAAGGAGCTGCGCTGCAATCCCAGAGGCACGCAGTTCGAGACCACCAGCTGCTCCGTGGGAGAAGGATAGGACTTGCTTGGGAAATGATTAGGGGTTGAGGGTAAGAGAGAGAATGAAGTGGACCCTTCTGAGGTGGGGAAAGCCATTTACTGGGGAACCATTTAAGTTAGGAAAAGTGAGGGTCCAGCCTGGACACCTGGACATGTGAAATTAAAATGCCGGACGGAGGTGTCCCGGAAGAGCCTGCTTGGAGGAGCGCAGTCCAGGGGAGCAGGCTGAGCTAGAGGGAGAGATGGGGGGCTGTGTGGACAGCACACAGAGGGAGAGTTCCTTCGGGAAAGAAGGCGGCACGTGGGAGAAACGGACACCTAAGCCTTGAGGAACAGAGAGCAGTTCCATTAACCATCAGGGTGTCTGAGAAGGGGTGTGTATGAGTGGGGGGGGGATGTTCAGCATTCGTGTGACTTGTACTGGGGTGTGGGGCCTGCATATCAAAGCCCCACGGTGACTGGGGGGTTCAGTGAGAGCATTTTTTGGAGGAGACCCTCCTGCGGGGGGCAGGGATGATGGCTTCAAGGAGTGAAGATCCTGTGAGAAGAAAGAACTGTGTTGTGGAGAAGAGGGTGGAGCACCAGTGAAGGGCGTGAGGGTGTGAGTCAGTGAGCAGGAGTTGGTTCTGGAGAAGGAGGGACAGTGGGACGTCTGGAGTGGAGTTCACTGGGCAGAGTGGATGAAATGACACAGGAGCACTAAAGGGGAAATGGTGGGGCTGGAGGCTGGGAAAGGAGTGAAGGAGGAGGGAGAGGGAAGAGAATTCTGGCCATGAGGTCCAAGTGGTGGAGTGGGGGCAGCAGGCAGGCATTCCTGAGACGGGCAGCGGGCTCTCAGGAATGAGAGGGAGCCTGGGATTTACGTTTCTGAGGGGTGCAATGGAGGTGTGGGTGCTAGGGTGGCAGGGCCCTTCCTGCCTTTCATTCCCCAGCCCCCTGGGCCCCTGGGTAATGCCTCTCCTCACTCTCTCCACAGGTGGACTCCCTTTGAGGCCTTCCCGCAGGAGCGCAGCTCTCTCAGCCTCGTCAGCCTCGGGGGCACCCTCTATGCCCTCGGTGGCTTTGCCACACTGGAGACTGAGTCGGGGGAGCTGGTCCCCACAGAGCTGAATGACATCTGGAGGTGAGCCCAGCCCCAAGGGCCAAGAAGGGACGTGAGAGCAAGGCAGATGCCCACAGCCCGGGCATTATAGCCAGGTCCAGGCTCTTGGTCAGCTCATCTGGGGAAGGCTGACCTCTTCCTCCAGCAGGCCCGATGGGGAAGAAATAGTGAGCACGCGACATTTCTCTGCAGCCAGGCTGGAAGGCCTCGCTCGCACACGTGGCCCCTGACCTCTGTGGGGCATTGGCGCGGTCACATGACCCCAGGCTGAGGGCATAGACACAGAAACAGGGCCCAGGAAAGGGACCCTTGGAAGAGTGGTCAGGGCTTTCCTGTCCCCTCCTTCCTGGAGGTGGAGTCCAGAGGAGGGGAGCACACAGCGCAGGGCTCAGCTTGTTAGAACCATTGCTTTTCACAGCTGGTTCTTCCTGGGGCTGGGAGAAGAGGTTTCGGCATCCGGGGTGCCCTTTGAACCCTCATTCCCACTGTGGAGCAGTGTTGCTAGGAGAGGTGGACTTAGGGGTGCTTCTTAAAGTGTTGAGAGTGAGAATGTCCACACTGTGGAGGGAGCATAGCACTTCCTAGGGGATAGGGAGCTCCAGTGGCCTAGTAGTAAGGAGTTATGCTGCCAACCCAAAGGTGCAAGGTTCCAGTCCACTAGTTGCTCCATGGGAGTAAAATGGGCTGTCTCCTCCCATGTGATGTACTGACTCTGGAGAGAGTCAGCTTTGAGTCTGCACATAACAACAGAGGGAGAATGGCCGGTGTGGGGGCCCTTCCTGCAGTGCTGGTTGGCGCTCTTTGGGGATGGGCCTTGAGCTTGAGAGTCCTCAGGGTCGAAGCTTCCAAGGATAGACCAGCGTTTCGAGGTGCGTCCAGCCATCCCTCCTTGCTGGGTCCCACCCTGAACGCAGCTGACCAAGCTCATCTCACGGCACCCCCTCCCCCACCGCAGGTACAACGAGGAGGAGAAGAAGTGGGAGGGCGTGCTGCGGGAGATCCCCTATGCAGCCGGCGCCACGTTCCTGCCTGTGCGGCTCAACGTGCTGCGCCTGACCAAGATGTGACGGGGCCCGGAGCAATCCCCTCCCCGCCCTGTCCTGCTGACACATCGGACTGACTTTGAGGAGGTTCTGGGGGGCCCAGTCCGGAAGAGGCCAGCAGCCCGCCACATCCCGTCACAGTGCCTGAGAGGCCGCTTGGCAGGGAAGGAAAACTGATGGTCAGCTGGCTTCGGTGAGGGCCGAGAACTCGCAGCCTCTCTAACGTCTCCAGGGCGCACACACTGGGCCGCCTTGGGTCATGAGCTGAAGCTGCAGCTGGGTGTCCCGGGCCGAGTCCCAGACCTGCCCCAGCCTGGCTGTGTGTACATTTCCCTGTTGGACTCTTCTCCACTATCATGTGTGGATGGTCCTCGTTGAGCAGCGTGGAAAAAATCTCCTTTTTAAAGAAGAATAAAGTGCCTCCAGCCAGCAGCTCATGGGTGGGGTCAGGTCGTTCAGGAGTCTGTACCAGGAGCTTTGAAGACTTGGGGCTCCCGTGCTCAGCTGCTGGGTTGCCAAGGTCAGTGGTCTCGGCCCTTCCAGCTCTGCAGTGTGATCCCCCCTCCCCAGCAAGCCCCGGCTCCTCACTCAGCGTGGGCCACTGGAAAAGGGCAGGAAGCAGCCATGCGGTGGTAGAAAAGTCTTTTATTCTGGTCAGGCCTCCGGTGGCCTGGCCGGAGCTGGGGCCCCAGCTAGGCAGAGCCCTTCCTTCGTCCCCTTCCCAGCTACTCCGGCTTCTCTTTCTCCAGCTTCTCCTCCTCCAGCGCCAGGGTCCGCTCTCGCTCCTTCACCAGCTGGACTCCGCAGTAGGTGACAAAGAGGATAGCCAGCGTGGTCTGGGGGAACCCTGCAGGAGGAACAGGGCGTGAATGCAGGGGCAGCACCCTGTCCTCTTCTCCGCCCTCTGCCCACGTGGCCGACCCGCCCCACCGCGTCCCTGGAGGGAGAGTGGGTGAAGAACCTCTCAGGAGGTTCCGTTCTCTAGACCAGTGCCTGGCACGTTCTCTGTCCCCCGTCACTGTCCCTCACCTGTGAGCAGAAGGCGCCGGGCAACCAGCTCTGTGAACGCCAGGCTGTTGAGGCTCACCAGGTTGTACATGATGATGGCCCAGAAGTTCACGGCCCCGAAGAGGGCTCGGATCCTGCGGGACATCTGCTCCGACAGAGAGGCCTGCCCCGTCCGCAGAGGTGTTGGCAGCAGAGCAAGGGGCCCGGAGGAAAGGGGATGGTGTGCTGGTCAGTGGGCTTCCCACACGGCCACTCTGAGGGTCCCAGCCCAGCTCTGTCTCCGACACAGGTAGGGCCCGGAGCCTTACACCTAGCTCTACCCAGGAAACGTGCCTCAGAGACAGAAGACACATGGCAGAGAGAGAAAGGGCAGGATACCCACAGGGCTAGTCGTCGCCCTGACAACCAGGAGGGTGGTGGTAAGAAAGTTCTGGCTTGCGAGTGTGGCTGGACGACTCTGGTGGTGACCCCGATGAGCCAGACCCAGACCCACCCTGCTCACCTCGATTCGTGCTAGGGGTCCCCATTCTGCCAGCTTCTGCACCCAGAGTTCAAAGTTGAGGCCAAAGCAGTTAAGGAGTGACCACAGGTAGACAATGTCGCAAGGCCCCAGCCACAGAGTGGTGATGGCAAACGTGGCCACTGTGGCCATCAGCTCTGGGATCACAGCCGAGTGTTCCCCACCGATGTGGTCATAGACGTACCTGAAGGAATGGCAGACGGGGCCGATGGGAGAATGGGAAAGGCCAGTTATGAGATGGGCAGACGGTACAGGACAGCCCTCCTCAAGCCTGTCACTCCGGGTACATGGAACATTCCTGCCTTCAGGTGACACTCTTCTTCCCAAGCTCAAAATGAAGAGGGTTCAGCTTTCTGACTTCTGTCTTCTCTAGTAATACCCTTTCTCTCCCCAGCTGGTCTCATCTGGATCGAAGGCTTCAGACAGTATCTCTGTGCCAGGGACCTGAGTCTGTGTCTTCAGTCTCACATCTAACAGCTAGTAGACATTCTCCCTTGAGTTAACACTCCCATCCCTGCCCAAACTTGTTTACACAATCCAATCCGTTCACTCAGGCCAGAAATCTAGCGTCTTCTTGGATTCTCCGATTCAGCAAGTTCCCTTGGCTTCGCTCAGTCCTAACCCAGTCTGCTCGCTCACTACTTCCACTGTCACCTTCCCAGTCCAGGTCTCACCAAGACCATTGAAAGAGCCTTAGAAATAGTCTCCTTGTTTCTGCCTCTGTCCTTCTGCAGTCTCTCTTCCACACAGCAGCCTGAGGCATCCTCCAGTAGCTTCTTGAATGAGCTCAAGCCCCTTATTATATATAGTTAGGAAGCAGGAGTGGCATCCACTTCCTAAACAATGTGCCTCTGGAAACTCTATGAACGTTGATGTCGATAGTTAAGAACGGCTTCAGGCTTTTTGTCCATAGGGTTGCTGTGAGTTGTGCTAAGCTCAAAGGCAATCAACAACAGGACTTCCAACCTAGTCTAACTCTGGCTTCGTCACACTCTCCCATTCCCCATGCACTGGTTTTCCTGGCCTTTTGGCCCCTCCGTTACACACAGGTGGCTCCTGCCTCAAGGTCTTGGCCCTCGTTCCCTCCACCTGGAATTTTCTGTCCTTGATCACCTCATAATTTCAGTCTCAGCTCAGATATAACCCCTCAGAGAGGTCTGCTCAGATCCCAACTAAAAAAAAGTATCTGTCCTGAAGACAGAGAAGGAGGGGATAAATAATGTATACTGCATTGAAACATGAGGGAGAGAATTGTTTAGAAGGGATATATGATTGGATATTGTTGTCATGACAGGAGTCCAGAATGAAGGCTGCACAGTGGAGTGGACTTGGGGAGAGGGACTGCATAACAATGAAAGAGTTTTACTTTTCAAGGAGAAGAGTGATTTGATGGGGGTGGAAGGGCAGGGAGAAAAGTGCAACAATGAATGACTGGAAACCCTAAGTCTCTGTAAACTTTCATTAAAATTAATTAAAAAAAGAAAATCTGCCCTGCAGTGAGGCACTGTGGGTTCATCACACGGTCTTAGTTTCTTCTGGGCACTTTTGGCTCTTGGAAATGATCTTATTTACGTGTTTGTTTACCTGTTTGTTCATGGTCTGTTTCTCCCCACTAGACTGTAAGCTCTATGAGTTCAGGGTCTTTGCCATGTTCACAGCTGTATCCCCAGTGCCTAGAGCAGTGCCTGGCACGCAGTAGGTGCTCAATAAATAGTTGTTAGCTGAAGTCAGTAGAAGAGCCAGTGAGTGGCTGCTCCGTTTCCCTGTCACCTCAGGCACCCACTTCCATGGCAACCTCCCTGACTTGGTCACCTTTCTAATTCCCACTCTCTCCCCCTTTCCCCTCCTGACGTGGTTCTAAATCCTCAAAGTGGAGCCTCATCCTGTCCCTCCTCGTGTGACCCCTCCCATCTCCGTCACCCTCCTTAGCAGACTTATATCCCATGAGTCATCATTATAAATAACCTGGGGGGGGGATCTGTCACTCCCTTCTCCTCATTTGCCCTCAAGTTGCTAAACCCCGATGGAAATCTCATGCCTTCACATATTGGGGGTCCATGAATTCATGGGGCCACCTGGGTGCTCAGTGCCAGAGGTTTTCTACTCAGTATCTCCCATGCTCTGCCATGGCCACTCCACCCTAAGCTCCCTGAATGAGTGAGGTGGTAGTGAGTCCGACAGAGCAGGAAGGAGAGTCCCGGGCCCCTGCCTCCCTCTTTGCCTCCAACCCTGTGTGTCTCAGCTGATCGCCTTGTCTCCTACTTAAGGAGAAAGCCAAACCTTTCAGGTGGAATCTCATCTTTCCAAACCAGCCTGCCTCCGTCTGCACCCACACTGGCTTGATTCTCTCCCTCCAAGCTGCATCTCCACCTGGTATTGGCTCCCACAGCTCCTCCCTCCTCAGAGATCCTAATGGCAACAGTGACCCCCTCACCCTGCACACCAGCTCCTTCCTCTCTACTGAATAATTGCCCTCTGCATCCAAGCGTGTCCATGATGCGCTGTTGTTATGTGCCGTTGAGTCGCTTGTGGCTCATAAATGACCCTATGTACAACAGCCTTAAACCCTGCTCTATCCTGTGCCAATCACACTGCCTCCAACACCCATCCCGATTACCCTAGTCACTGAATCAATCCATCTCATAGTCTTCCCCTCCTGCGCTGTCCCTCCACCCTCCCAAGCATGATGTCCCTCTCCAAGGACCGGTCCCTCCTTACAACATGTCCAAAGTATGTTAGACGAAGCTTCAGAATCCTTGCCTCCAAGGAGCAGCCTGGTTTAACTCTTCTCAGGATGAATCTGTTTGTTTTCCTAGCAGTCCATGATACCCTCAGTACTCTTCTCCAGCACCACAGCTCAAAGGCATCAATTCTCCTTCTATTCTCCCTAGTCATTGTCCAACTCTCTAATGAAATAATCCCACTTCTTCCTTTAGCAACTCCTCTGTCCCTCGCCCTACCAGTACCAGGCTGCTTCCTGGAGTCGTGCATACCTCACCTTACAGTTCCTCAGCCCCTTTTCCCTCCTCACACACCTCTGCTTCTCCAGCGAAAGGCGGGACCCTCCGTGTCACTAACTAATGCTCAGTCGCCAGCTCCCCTGATCCTCAACAACACACCTGACCCACAAGTCCTCACAGTGGACCTTCTTCACGGGGAAGACCGTCTTCTGCTGGCTCCAGGGCATCGTGGGGCTGGGTTTATTACTGCTTCTCTGCTCTTTTCAGTCCTTTCTGCTGGCTCCTCCTCCCACCCCAGAGTTCTTGCAGGCCCAAGCTCCACCACCCCTCTCTCATTCGACCCTCTGTCTTTAGGACTTATCTGCTCCTGCAGGCTTAAGACCAGAACCTCCCCACGCACTCACGATTCTTCATGTTTCAGAAATACTTCAGACTTGGCTGAACTGCAGACCTCAGCCCTTAACCACTTACTTCCCTGAGCCTCTGTGAATCTAGACCCTAAACTTGACATTTGCAAAGACCATCTCTGGAGGCCGTGCTTCCATCCTCCCAGACAGCAGACAGGAATCGGCACCTCATCTTCCTTTTCCATTATTGGTCCTCCCCTCCCTGCTCCCCAATCCATGGACAATCCACCTCTCAGGCCCCTTTGAAGTCGAAGCCGCTCTCCTTCACCTTGACTTTTCAGGCCCTCCCTTGCATCCTTTGGCCTCGGGATGACATTTACAACGGTGGCTCAGTCTCAGCCATCCCCATCTCAGACTCTTGGTAGGAGAGACGTGACCCTCTGTTGTCCCCCTGCCCATCCCTCCTCACCTCAAACTCTCGCCCCACTCACTTGCAAAGCCAGTCGTTGATGCCTCTGTCAAAGTGCCTGTGAAGAGAGCAGAAGCAGATGAGAAGCAGCCCATGCTCCCTGAACAGAAGGGAGGTGTAGCAAGATGGGGATTGAGATGTGTCCCCCACAAGCCTGGCACTCACGTTTCTGCAAAGACGTAGAGGGCAGTGATGCATTTGGGAGGCTGCGGTGGGTCCAGGTGGTCCAGGCGTGCCACCGTGTTGACAACACCGAACAGGACAGCTGCCTTCACCCAGTCGTACACCAGGTTTGAGTAGGCCAGGCCAGCTGGGGAGAAGATGCTGTTAGGTTCTTGGGGTGTGCCACTATTCCCTGGGGACCCCAAGTCCAATGAGAAACTATCGGGCCCAGAGTTTCTTTCCACATGTCCTGGAGGAGGTTTGTGTACTGGACCTGCCCCTTAAACCCCCCTAGTGGCTAGGCCTCACCCCTTGAGGATCCTGCCTCCTTCCCTAGGCCTGGGGCGGCCTTTATGCCAGGCTTGCCCTCAAGGAGAACACTCCCTGAGAGAATGCTGAGCTTTCCTGCCCCTCAGAGGCCTGCTCTGGGATTGTGGGGTTCAGCTGGCAGTGTGGAAGCTGCACTCAACTCACAGGGCAACGCTAATGCTAAGTTTCATGACTCTGAAGAATAAGTCCCCACTCCCCACTCCCGGCTGGGTGCCGCGTCCTCTCTGGACCCCAGGTTCTCAGCTGTGACGCAGTGACGAGGGGCAGCAGATGCCCCAACTTCCTGGGCCGATGGCTCCAGTCCTGGCCCCCCTGATCACCCACCCAGGGCGCTGTCCGTAAGGCGGGTGGCGAACTTGAGGTCACTGGGGATGGTGAGGATGTAGAAGAAGTGAAAGAAGACGTCCACGGCTATGATGGCCGCCACGCTGAGGCCGGCCTGCGCCCGGATGCGCCACAGTTCACCGTCTGGCCTCACCGGCTCCGCCTGGCTCACCTTGGGGTGTGGGGTGTGGAACAGAGAATCTGAGGGGGCAGGCATGTGCCGCCAGAAGGGCCCTGACTGACTGATAGAGATGTTGGTGACACCTGGCCCAGGGGACTTGGGGTGAAGGAGGCACGCTTTATCCGGGAGGCCTCCCTGGGGGTGGCCACACAGGTCATCTGGACTTTGAGGGCTCACAGCCCAATTGAGAGTGCCAGTGTTTGGGGGTCCCGCTTTGAGCAGGAGGGCAACAGCCATGATCTGTGATCCCTCTCTAAGAGGGAGGAGATATCTCCACACTGTGACTCCTGTCCAGGCAAGTGGGGGGGGGGAGTCTGAGACAGAGGGGAGACATGGTATCATCTTGGGGTCACACTAAGGGCAGGACATAGCCTGCTCAGGAGTCCCAACCTGGGGACTTCAACCTCCCTCGGGGAGCCCCGGAGACAGGGGGAGTCTCACCCCTGCTTGGTGTGGGGGGTCTTCCTCACCTGTGCGTGGAAGCGGTCAAAGGTCATGATGGGCCCAAAGAAGAAGAAAGGCAGGTAGAAATTGTACTTGAGCAGATCGGCGAGGGAGTAGCGGCGGTCGGGGTGGGCACACCTCTCCAGGGCAAAGCTGGTGCAGCGCAGCACAGTGAAGCCACTGCCCCCATGAAACAGCACCTCTTGAAGATCAAAAGTGCCTGTTACAAACCCGCTCTGGATGGAAGAAAACAGGCCACCAGCTCACCAGGGTGCCGCTGCCTCCAGGAAGCCCGCTGAGCTTCCCACAGGGACCCAGCCTTGGCCCCACTCCATGCTCTTTCCCAGAGTCCGTCAGCATTGGACAGTGAGGGCCACTAGCCTGGGTGGCAGGACACAAGCCAGATGCCTCCCGGCTGGAGTGACAGTAAACGCTATGGGTCGGGGGACATTTACAGTCAAATACTTGGTGATGAATGAAAAAGGAAGGGGGACACTTGGGAGCCCTTGGGAGGCAAGGGCTTTGGAAGAGTGAGGAGGTCAAGGCCCTGTCCCCACAGCTTTCACCCTACCCTGCCCCAGTCCACACCTGCCAGGAGATGAGAGGGTCCAGCTTGAAGGAGGCCAGGCTGGCCATTCCAAGGCCAAGACAGAGCCAGGGCTGGCCCAGGAGCGACACCACGTAGAGGCCCACGCAGTGGCCCAGCAGCAGCAGCAGGTAGCTGGGGCCCATTGTACCCATGACGGCCAGGATCCCATACACGGCGTACATCCAAGAGCGGAGCTGCGGACAAGGAGACAGCTCGGTCAGGGGCAAGATCCAGGATGGATGAGGCCCAAGGGCAGGGGAAGGGGAAGGCTGGGCTGTCCCAGGCGTGGCTCACCTGGGGGGCCACCATGGTGCAGAGTTTGGCAAACAGCACGTGTCCAGAAAGGGCGAAGATGATGATGTTGCGAAAAGACGTGAACCACATGACCCACTCGAAGTCAGCCACGTCCTGAGACCCCGCGGGAGAAGGGGGCGGGGAAGAAGACAAGAGCCTGGTCTGGCTGGGTCCCAGCCCCTTCGTAGCCCCTGTGTGCTTCTTTTATGCATTAGGAGTGAACAGTAATTGCAGGTCCCTCCAAGCCCGAGACAGAAATACCCAGCATAGAGCTGGAGGGGGATGAGGGGTGGGCTATGGGCTGTGCACCCTCAAAGCTGCTCCTCTACCCAGTGCACTGACTCCCATCCCACCAGGCTGGGGTGCAGGCCCCTGGTGGAGCACTTCAGGAGAGAAGGGGCTGAGAAATGGGTTAGGGAAGAAGAACTCAAGCTTGAGGGTGCCCCAGAAGCACACAGGGCACAGGAGGGGCTGGTGAAGATGTGGAAGATGCTGAAGCTTAAGCCAGAGACTCTCCTCCCCAGGAACCTCAGTTTTGCCCTCTGAAACATGGGAGCAACAGAAAGAAGGGAAAGTGGAGGAGGGGTTTAGGACAGGGAAGATGCACCAGCGGTAAGGGACCCTGAGGCAGACTGTGGGTCTTGGGGAACTTACCATCTTCCGGCCAATGTACTCCCAGCCTGGCCGCACAGACTCCCGGAAGGCCTTCCTGTGGGCGCCATCTGAGAACAGAGCGTGGCCTCAGGGAAAGGGGCCCTTCACACAGCCCTGTGTCTGCTCCCCTACTAGTGGGCCCATCCTGAGGGGTGGGAACTGGGGCTCCCTGTCTCTGCTTTGCTCTAAGCCTCTCCCTGTGTGAGAGCTCCTCTCTCCAAGTGTCCCTGTCTCTGTCAGTGTTTCTGCACCCACCTCCTTGAACCTGAACTTGGCTCAGCCTAAGCCTCAGGGCCTGGGGAGCACCCTGGGCCCAGAATCTGCATGCTTTTGGCTTTACCTGATGGAACCCCGAGGCTTCCAGGGAAAGAGGGCCCCTCTCCCAGCTCCAGGGCCCCATCAGTTACCTTGTGAAGCCTCCAGCAGGTCTCGGCCTGAATAAGCCAAGGCCCCACTCAGCACCAGGGAGTAGAGGCCCAGCTCAGCGGCGGGCAGTGCTGTCTTGATACCCATGGCCTGGACGGGGCTGAGGGAGACAGGGAAGGTGAGGACGCAGGGCCACCAGCCCCGCCTGTTCCCACCTGACACTCTTTGACTGAGGTGCTAGGGGCCCCACTCTGAGGAGACTGCCTTTCTGGTCACTTGTGTACCTCCTGCCATTGTGCCCTGCTGAATAGGGTCCCTCCTCCTCCCAGTCCCCTGTCCTGGATGCTGCACCCCCCACCCCCAGCTCCCAGCTCTCACTTCACAAGCTCTTTCATACTTTTTTTTTTTTTTTGGCGGGCCAGCGCCCCACTCTCTGCCCAAGCCACTCACCTCTCCTGCTGAGCCCCCTGATGACTTCCACAGGGGGAAACCCTATCTCTTCAATCTCATTCCTGGCACCCCGGGTCCCCATCCTCTTCAGTGACCTTTCCCCTATAACTTCTCCTCCGGGCACAACCCACAAGCTTCCCTTCCCTGAGAATCTGCCACTTCCCCAGGTCCAGCCCCCGCCTCTCACTGACATCCGCCCTCTCGACCCCCCAGCCCCTCAGCCCTGCCACATCCCTAGTCCCTGCCTGTGTCCGTGGCCATGCAGGCCCACTCAGCGCTCTGTGCACTCAGGTCTTGGCAGCGGGCTGAGGCCCTGTTATTTGAGGAGACACCTTGGCACGGTGGGTGTGGAGCCAGGCGGGCTCCAGGGACACTGGCTGCTGTCCAAGGTGCTGACCTGTGTGAGGGCCGCAGCAAGCCCTGCTCATTCTGGTTGGGGCCTCTCTCGTTCCCGGGACTCCTGCTGGGTCAGGTCATCCCTTGGGGCTTCAGCTAATACCCAGTCCTTCCCACCCTGTGACGGTCCCAAGGGCCTGTGGGTACAGACTGTCAGGAGTCAGGGCCTGAATGAAGAGTAGCCACCAGCTGAAGAAGCAGCCCTCTTCAGCTGGGCTGGGTGTCCACTCCAGAGCCTCCCCCAGCTCTGCGTCACCTGCGTTCTCCCCATTACACAGATGGAGGCTCATGGATCAGAGAGGGACAAGGCCCTGGCAAGGTCACACAGCAAGTGTGTGCGGGGGGGGGGCGGTCTCTCTCTGCCTTCCCTGGGGACCAGGTGTTCTGAGTGAGCCCCTCCGCGGTCTCAGATAAGGGAAAGCCCTATCCGTCCCTCCCCATGCTGGAGGGTTGCTGGCTGGACATGACTTCTGTTGGGGCTGAGGCACCTCATGGGTCGCGTGGGGGTAGGGAGGCCCCGGGGATCAGGTTAATGGAGCAGGAGCTTGAAACCGGAGCATGGTGCAGAGCCGGAGAAGTAGCTCTGTCAGCTGCCTCCCACTCGCCACTTTCCAATTTTAGCTCCCCATGGCCGGTGCAGGGTGTCCCCGGTGAGGCCGCCGTGGGCAGGGCTAGAGCTGATCCCCGGCCTGGGGCTTCTCTCTCCATAGACCCCCAGCTCTGGGCTGGTCTGTGGACACAGGGTGCCCTCTGCCCCTGTTACTTCAGGTGTACCTGGGGTAAAACCTACTTTGGGGGCTGTGATACGAGCTAAGGGGCCCGAAGTGGGCCCCACAGGACATGGGGCCCTGGAGTGGCTGCATTCCCAGCTGGCACTGACCTTGAGGAGACTGTGAGGGACCCTGGCACTCTGCCCACCTCGGGGCTCCGAGGTCCTGCGTCCGACCGTGCGTCCGTCCGACCAGCTGGGCTCTGGGTCTACGGTGGGGTGTGTCCAGCTCTGGGGTCCCCACCCCCTCGAGGCTATGTGTGGTGAGTGGTGACAGCGGGGAGCGGGGGAGGGGGGTGGAGGAGGAGGAGGTGTCCTTCCAGGAGCAGTGCTGAGCGTGTGGAACAGAGCGAGTGCTGCAGAGCCGCTGGCCGCAGGGAGCCGCAGGAAGGATGGGGGAGGGCTGGGAGGGGCAGGGAGCCTCAGGGAGGATGGGATGAGGGCTGGGGGGGGCAGGGAGCTGCAGGGAGGATGGGGTGGGCCCTGGGGGGGCAGGGAAGGCCATGACAGAGGGCAGTGAGGGTGGCCATGGCACAGGCTCAGACAAGCACACCTGGGCCTCACCTCAACCTGCCTCCCCCAACCCCTAGAGAGCCTGGGGCTCCCTCTCTGTGCTGGTCAGTGTCCTCCTCTTGCAGGAAGCCTTCCTGGTAGCACCCTCAGCCTCATCAGAATTTGAGTGTGCTACCCCCCACACCCATGCACACACACTCACATTTTGGCCCTGGGCACCCTGGCTCTCAAGATGACGAAGGAGTCACAAAAGGCTATCCCCTGGCAGACCACCTAGTTCCCTGAAAGACCAACTAGCCCCCTGGAAGACCACCTAGGCCCCTGGCCTAGTCCTTGTCACCACACAGAGGGCGGGCTAGCCTGCTGGGATGAAGCATGGCTGAGCGAGTCCTCGTGCCCCGGTCATGCTTCATAAGGTTCCTGGTTGGAGTGATGCTCCCAGGGCTACCTGGCACAGCTTGAGAGCACAGAGTGACTAGCATCCTTTGACAGCAGGACAGTAGTAGATAGAAACGTGCCTGACCAACTGGGACCCCTGGTAGGGGCACAGGGGCAGCCAAGGTCTCAGCCTAATGGGGTGAGGTATCCTAAAGACCCCACTCAAGGGGCCAGGAGCCTCAGGGTGTGGGCATGCTGCAGCCTTTGTGCCCTGCCATACATATCTACCTGTCCGTGCATGCACCTATGTGTAAGAGGCTGGGGGCAGGACAACGGGGATCAGTGACAGATCCTGGAGCTCCTGCTGACCTCTAGACCACGGCCCTAAGCTTAGGATGGGAGAGGAAAGGGCTGTTTCCCACCCGACAGGGACCCTTCCAGGGCCTGAGCAAGGTGTGGACAGGTAAGTCATGTCTCCTCCCCCTCAACACAGTGCACTTGGGCAATGAACACCCCCCCAAGCACGCAAACACCACCGGCCTGGAGGAAGCAGCAGGGGGGAGATCTCAGCCACACACAACCCAGCAATGCAGAGGTGCAAGCCCACAACTCACACAGCAAGACAAAGTCATAAACACAGAGGGCCTGCGACCCATCCAGACTCTGTGTATACAACGGTGTAGACAAATGAGCAGGGCTTCTGCCTGCTGTCCGCTGCTGAGTCCTCCGTCACGGAGTAGATGTCCAGTAAATAACTGTAGAATCAGTGCTCGCTGGGGGAGGGCCCCAGGACACCTGCTTCTCAGAGCCTGGTTTTGAGTTCAAAGAGCTGCCAACCTGGGCAGCAGAGTTCACCTGTTAGGGACACTGATCAGAGTGAAAGGTGTTTCCTGCATAGCGTGGGGTCTGGGCTCAGGTTGCAGTGGGGGTTCATGGGCCCTAGAAACCATCCGGTTGGGAGGCGGCCTGAGCCAGCCTGTGGAGATGATGGAAGGCTTCCTGGGAGAAGGGGTGCCCGAGCAGTTTTGAAGGCAGAGTCAAGGTTGTCAGAATCAACTAGGAATAGTCGCCAGGCCTGGTTCCCAGGCAGTGCATGAATTCTTCTTAATATCTCCGCAATTCAGAGAGTAACTACTGTTATTATCCCCAGTTGGCAGAAGGGGAAATTGCATAATGAGGATGTTAAACACTCGGGTCTCACCCTGCGCTTGTGGAACAGAACACTCTGCAGTCTGAGGACCCAGCTCAAGCCTCGCTGATGCCCAGACCAGCCTGGGCTGATTTATCATCCTGCTGATAATAAGGTATGAGGAGGGAGGCAGGGGGCGGTGTGGCTGTGGGCTGAGGCACGTGAATTCAGTTCACTTCGCTGATCAGCTCTGCCGGGTTGGTGTGGTTTAGACCTATCCCTCCACTTCTCTAGGGTGCAGACCCTCACTAGTGAAATGCGCTCGTGGCTGGCTTTGACCACCTGACTGGGGCCTGCTCAGTGCAGAAGGTGTTAGGGAGTCGCAGAGCTCCACCCTCCAGAGGCCCAAAGAAGCAGGACACAAACAGTTCCCAGGTGACCCTCGCTCAGGGGAGGGGGTGGCAGGGAGCCAGGCCAGTGGGCATGGTAAGTGCAGAGGGCAGGGGAGGCCCCTGGACCCGCGCTTGGGCACCCTGTGGTCAGCTTCACTTGGTGTGAGGAGGGATGGGCTTGGATGGGGGTGTGGTGCGTCCAGCCCACAAAACCGGAGGTGGGGGCAGGGAGAAAGCTGTGACCAGCATAAGGGCCTGAGGTCAGTGTCCCACATGCCGCAAGAGCCACCGGAAGTGACCTGGTAGGGAGAGGGACTGATTCTATCGAGCCGCAGGGACACCAGATCCCATTCACCTTCCAATGCTTTGTCGTTGCTCAAAGCAAAAAGGTGGGTTACTGTACAAAACTGTAGTTTGTGCATTTGTTTTCCATTGTACGTTGTCTATGGCATGTACGGGGTGTAGAAGGCACTGTGGAGGCATAGTGCATTAAATGCTGGGCTGTGATTCAACTCCACCAGCTGCTTCAAGGGAGACTCAGAGATGCAGAAAACTGATGTAGGGTGGCTGCGAGTTGGAAATGACTTGATAGCAAGGTGTATATGTGTGCGCGCGTGTGTGTGTGTGTGTATGCGTGTGCACGTGTTGTGTGATGTCTGAGTGTGTGGTGTTTGTAGTGGCCATCCGTGACACGTGTGGACACACATCAGGGACACAGGGCGGAGGGACTCAGGAGGTCGTGTGTGTAAAGGCAGCACCCCTGGGGTCCAGAGGGCGGGCAGAGACTTCCTGAGGAGAAGGAGATGCTAATCCTGTCTGTTGGATGTGGGGGGACCTAGAGCTGCACCTCAGCTGCAGACTGCTCTGCCCTGGGTTCCAAAACATGTTTGGGACTTTGCCTGAGTTGGGCTGTGACCTTGCCCACAGCGTCCCAGGGCCCCGTGGGGAGACGGCCTCACCGGCCTGGACTGGGAGCTAAGGCCCGCAGTCCCCAGCACCTGCCTGGGGCTCAGCCGTGACGGGCCTGCACCTGAAGTCTCTCCCTCCATCCGAGCTTCCAGCCTCATCCGTCTCTGCACATCACCACTGTTCCCCACTCCACATCCCCTAGTGGCTCTGGGAAGGGACCACAGTGCTCTCTGTGAAAGGCTGATCTGCCTGCCTGCTATCCTCTTTGCCTGAGGAATGAGGAGGTCACCTCAGAGCCCAGGACCAGGTGCTACTGTTCAGGAGGGCCATGGGCATTAAGGCGGGCGCCCCATGCACGGCCTGCTTGCATTAAATCCACTCCTGGGCCAATGTGACAACCTTCTTCCCTAAGCAATCCCCCTGCCAGTTCTCCTGGGCCCTCCAGTCCCCCACCCTCTGCCTCAAGGAGACAGGACAGGCAGACACTTCTGACAGCCCTTCCTCATCCACATCTGAGCAATCAGCCTAGAGCCAAAGGGAGGGAAGCCAGAATGGGCGGCTGTGGGGCCGTGGCCCATCACTCCTGTCCTCCCTCCCATCTGGCCCCTCCTGGTCCTTTCCATCACCCTAAACTGGACCTAGCACTTCATGTTTCTGAAACCAACAGCCAACACTCACGGAATGCAGTGCCTGGCAGCCCTGTGGTTAGGACACTTCGCTGTTAACCTAGAGGTCCTTGGTTCAAATCCCACCAGTTGCAGATGAGAAGCAGATGAGGCGGCGGTCGGCTTCCATAATGATTTACAGTCTTGGAGTCCTATAGGGCAGCCGTCCTCTGCCAGCAGGATTGCTATGAGTTGGAATTGATTCATGGCGGTGAACTTGGCTGCTGGTTGGTGTGCCAGGTGTTCTCCAAGCAGCTGATGCTCTAACTCACTGAACCCTGAGGAGAGTTCTATGAGGGAACGAGGCCGCTGTGGTTGCACCAAGGAGCTGGCGGACGGTGGCAGCGGATGTGACAAGAACCCTGTAGTGCAGCTGAATTCATAAGTGCAAACAGTCACATTTAAAGCCATAGCTGGTCTGAGCAAGGACCTTGCCCACCCTGACCATGACCACAAATGGGCTTATACGTTTTACTGTGCCCTGCTGTCTGCAGTTTTTTCTCCTCTCTCTCTTCTATAAATCCCATCTTGGTGAAGTGAAAGAAATCTACTTATGGATATTCCTTGTGCAGAAGTAGACACTGGGTTACAAATCAGCTTAGTGTCTTGAAGTTGGGCTTCTGTTGGTCTAGTCGGTAGGGAAGTTGCTCTGTTAACCCAAAGGTGGTGACTCTGCTGGTTCAAATCCACCAGCTACCCCGTGGGAGAAAGACGGGCAATCTCCTGTGCAATTTTCAGTGTCCGAAGACCCGCTGGAGAGTCAGTTGTGAGTGAGTTCCAAGTCTACGGCAAGCTGTTGTTCTCTGACCACGTGATGGCTGTAGCGTGGGGGAGGGGTTTCTATTATTGTGCCCATTTTACAGATGAGGACATGGAGCTAAGAACTTTGCTGTTGTTTTTCAGAGTGTTCTCTTTTATTGGATAGGGTTCTCCATTTAGGTGACAAAGGACTGTTCTTCAAGAGGGGAAGGTGCCAAGGGAAAGGCATCCCAGCCAGGAAGACAGATGGCGCCTCTCAGTGGTATTTCCATATAGGAACTTTAAAAAAAAACCCAAGAAAACAAACCCACAACCACTTGCCCTAGGCCACAGTGCCCCAAGCAGGGAAGGAGATCTCTCCAGGTCCCGGTTCACATCCATGGTCTGCTCTCAGCCTGGACACACCCCTTATTGGACGCTCAGTGTGCAGAACGCAGGCTCCCTGAATCCACGGACACCACGCCTGCATCTCTCCCGGTGACGTCACTGAGGGCCTGCGTCTTATCTCCACATCCTGAGATTGTCCCCAGCCAACCGGGCACGTGCAGGAGGAGCCGACTCCGAGGCTTGGCACTCGGTGCTCCCACGTTAGGCCCACTCCTTGCCACCGCGTGCTATCTCCTCCCTGCACAGGCCCCACCCTCATCTCTGACTCTGTCTTCTGGAAGGAGCAGAGGAAAAGTCTCCCTTCTGAGAAGTCCCCGCAGAGTCCCCTGCTCTTCCTGGTGTCCTTCACTGCACCTTGCTGTGTGTTCTCCAGACCCCTGTCATTCCAATGTGGAACACTCTCTGCGAGCAGAGGACCAGCACCGGGTCCCTCCACAGTTCCAGAAACTCCAAGCTGCCTCCTGCAGGGGAGGTTGTATTTCCACAGTGTGGGTTGCCCACCTGTGCATTTCAAGTGTCTCTGGGGGCTCTGACATTTGTGTCACTGTACAAGTGGCACAAACAACTATGCTTCATGCATGGGAATGTGTCTTCCCCAGGTGCACCCTCACCTAGGCAGGCATGCTTCTGTGGGCAGTGCTATGCAAGTTGTCAGCCAGGTGTCGATTGGCAGGTGTGCACACAGGTACTGCTGCGTGGTCCTGAACTGTGTGTACACATCACACCTGCGTGTTCATCCGCATCTTTCTGTGGACCTGTGTGTACATATGTATGGCCAGGTGTGTGGCTATGGAATGATTTCTCCCCAAAGGTGACTGGAAGTGACACCATGGCAGTCAGAGAGGGAACTCAGGGCCTCCTGGACTCTCCAGTAGCCCGCCTAGTTTGCTCCTGTGCCAGGTGCACAAAGCCCCCAGTCCTGTCTGCCCAAAGCTCTTGCCCAGCCTCTCCTCACCTCTTTCTCCCACCTGTACCTACCAGCTGTAGCACCTAGGGTCTCCTGGATCAGCTGGGGAAGGGAAAGCTGCCTCACTGAGGGTGGACATTCCTGCCCTGAGCAAGCTGTTTGGCTGGACGCCTCTGGTGTGGGTGTCCCGCAGGACAAGGTTAAAAGCCAGCTCTAATTATTTCGGGGAATCTCAGTTTCTTCACGTGTAAAATGGGGTGACAATCCCCTGGACTGCCTGGGAGGACAAGATGAGGTCCGATTTCAAAGCAGATTCTCACTCACAGGGGGCTGCAGTGTTCATAAAAATCATCATTATTGCTATTACAAGCCCGAAGGTTAGTGCTGGGGGAAGAGGTGGGAGAAGTGGGCTGGCGATGTGGCTGGGGGTTCAGGGAGGGCGTGCCTTAGGTCTGCAGGGAGTGAGGATGGCTGCAGATGGAGCCCCGGGGAGTGAGAGGGCGCTGCCTTGGTGTGGGACAGGTGGCTGGCTGGCCTGGGGGTACCCCAACACAGCACGGCTCAGATTCTCCTGTGTGAGAGGCTTGGTAGGACAGGGGTACCCAGTCAGCACAGCGGTGATGAGCACACGCTGGAGGGACCACGTTTGTCCGTGCACAGCTGGCCGGGTGTCCTGAGCTCCCGCAGATGCCACGCTGGCTGCCAGTCTGGCCGTGCACAGCTTGGTAGCTGTCCTGAGCTGCCACGAATGTCCTCTCCGTGGCCAGTCCTGCTCAGTCTCCTTTCCAGGCTCCACCAGGGCGTCCCTTTGGCCTCCAGGCCTGTGGTCGTGGCTCTGGTCATCTTTGGAGAGCCTCATGTGGGACAAAGGGCTGAGCTGGCTGCCCCAAGCTGCCTTCTCAGGGCACCTGGGGGCCTCAGACAGAGCCTTGTCCTCTCAGGCCTGAGCCCGTCCTGCCTGACCAGGCTGACCCGGGTCGCCACTCTCCTAGCGTCTGTCCGCCTTCTGCTGCCGAAGGGCCTGCAGGAAGACCCCTTTCACCTGGTCCAGGGTCTCATGGTACATACGGAAGTCCTCCTCTTTCCCCCGCAGGGCACTGCCCAGGGCAGCCTTCAGGGTTTCGTTCTCCTCCACCTGGATGGCCAGCCTGGACCACACGGAGGCAGGGTTCAGCATGGCGTGCGTGTGCACGTGTGTGTGTGTGTGTGTGGTGTGCGTGCGTGCGTGTGTGTGTGTGTGTGTGTGCATGCGTGTACAGAGGGCCCTGGGAAAGGTCTCCCAGCACAGCTGCACCTCAGGCACATGGTGTTTTCCTGACCCTCCCCCATGCGGGGAATAACCCTGCAGGGGTGCCCTCTGGGGTTGCCTGTATCCCTGGGCCTGACATCCAGTAGCTCCCATCAAACGCCAGCTGCATACAGACAATTACATTTGCAGTGGTTCCCTCTCCTTTCCCATCCGTGTATTTATCTTAAAAGGCGTTAAGTGAAGACAGTGTCTTCAGCTACCCATGTCTGGTAAACCCTCTCCAGGGCCCACGGAGTCTTTAGGACCTTGCTAGGCCTCTCTCCCCTCAGATGACCAGTCCCTGACCAGAGCCTTTGGCCAGCCTTCTGGGCAAACATAAGTTTGCAAGGGGGATCTCCCTCTCGACCCAGACAGCGCGACCCTCTAGGAAGACAGGGCACCTGGTTGTCAGCTCCTCCATCTGGGATTCCACAGGCACGTCGGAGAGCTGGGTGAGGGCTGGGTCCTTCTGAGTGTTCACGTTCAGGCTGAGCTTGGTGTGAGCGGAGGACAGACCTGCGGGGACAGCAGCCGCTTCCTGTGAGGAGGCCCTGTCCTACGCTCCCATCTCCACTTCCACCCCACGCCTCTCCAAGATCTCATTGCTGGGATCTCCCTGGTCCTCCTGCCCAGTGTTACACTCCTGTCCATGTCAGGGTGAGACCCACCTCCCTCCGAAGCCCGCCTCGATGTCTGCCCTGGCTCTCACCTGGCTTTGGCCTTGGCAACAACCTTGACCCAGTCTGCTCTGTACTGAAGTAGTGCCTGTCCATGAGTCCATCTCTACACTTTACATATTTCTTCTGATCATTTGTTCCCAATAAGAGAACCCAGCAGGCCTGAAGTCTGACCTGGTGGTCAGCGCATGTCTAGGCTTCCCTGCATCTGATGCTCAGCTAGGGACCACAGGCCACATGACAAGGGGGGCGGATGGTGTTTGTTCTAAAGACACAGGCAAAACGACAACATCTGAAAATCTCATGCTGAAAGGGCCTCTGATGTGACGTGGCCCTCAGAGGTGACATGGTTCTTAGAGGTGACCTGGCCCTCAGAGGTGATGTGGCCCCCGGAGGTGATGTGGCCCTCAGAGGTGATGTGGCCCCCGGAGGTGATGTGGTTCTCAGAGGTGATGTGGTTCTCAGAGGTGACGTGGTTCTTAGAGGTGGCATGGTGCTCGGTGGTGTGGCTCCTGGATGTGGTAGGGCCCCATTGAGCTCACTGGGCACCAGAGCTAGCTTTTATCTGTGTGACCTTCAGGTAACCCGCTGACTCCTCTGAGCTCCAGTTTTCTCACCTATAACATCATGGCGATAGTTCTTGCCTCTAGCACTCCGTGAGGCCTGGGTGAGTTCACACTTGACCTTGAGGTCGTGGGTGACTTCTCAACCTCCACTCACACCACTTGGGCCTGGCTGTCTAGCTGCTGTTCCTCTGATCGTCCAGCCAAGCTTCTGTGGCAGCCCCTCTGCACTTGCCCACTACCTGCCTGGCAGAGCTGTCTTCCACCTCTGTTAGGGGTCAGCTCCTCCGTGGGGTCTTCACTGGTCACCTCAAAGCAAACAGCTGCTTCCTCAGCACGCTCTGCCCCATCATCTCCTGCTTCAGGCAGCGGGAGTCACCTACCTGATCCATCAGGTCTTTTCTTGGTTTACCTGTTTACTGTCTATCTCTCGGGCGGGATTGAAGTAACATTCTGGATTTCAGTATTTTTAGTTTACAGACTGAAGCTTGCTATGCTCCCCAAAGAGGCAGTGCTCAGTCCACATTACCAGCCGGCAGGGATATTGGAGGCAGTTGTTCTCACTGTCCAGTTAAGACTGAAGAGGCAATCTCGCTGCTGCCCTCAGGAACCAGCCTGGCTCAGCTCTCCATTGTTGGGAGCCCAACAGGGAGTGGGCCTCATGCTTGGAGACACCACACTTTTGGTGGATCAGGGGAGTTGAGTCCCAGAGAGCTCCCCCAGCCTGGTCTCACAGTCCTCACGGGTCCCTGTCAAATCCTGGGCCTAGGGAGGCTGCTTTGTAAGCCATTTCTAGCTCTTCGTTCTAAAACACCCTGACCTCTGGGCTGAGTGCTGGAAACAAGGGTCTAAGTGTCCGCAGTTGAGGGAAGGGGTGGCCGACTACTACTGACATTGATGGAGGGGATTCTCCTCTATCCCAGAATCTGGAGCCTGCGTGACGATGAAGCCAGAGGGAGACAGGCCCAGCCCATCCACACAGGAAGTTCTTCCCTGGGGATGGGTCACCTGAGAAATGGCTTCTGGCTCTGGGATCAAACAACCCCCGCTCCCTCCCGCCAGACAAGATACTGATAGCTGGTCTTGAGACCACACCTTGAGAAGCACTGTGTTAGGGCAACATTTAGACTGAGACCTTTCCCAGCATCCCTCTGCTGCTGGGGTAGTGATAGGACAAAGATATGGCCAATGAGATGAGAGCGGAAGTGACAGCTGTAACTTTAGGGTGACGCCCTCAAAAGGACAAAAGTAGGTGTCTTCTCTTCTTGCGGAAGTAGCCGTCCTAGACCAAGAGATGGGAGCTGCGTGTTGTAGGTAGTGGTGCCACAGACACAAGGAGCCTGGGTCCTAGAACCTGTGGATGGGCCCACTCAGCTCGAAGCCATGGCTGTGGGGGCTTCCCCCAGACCAACCCTCCCAGGACCAACTACGAGTGCAGCAGAATCTATAAAGGGGGTTGACGGCTGGGATGGGATGGCAGTGGAGGTGGTGCTGGGCAGTCAGCAGAGGCTAGGCCAGAGCCAAGGGGCCCCTGGAGCTCTGGGTTCCTGCTTTTGACTAGGACCAGAGGATGAGGACACCTCACAGGAGGGATGAGGAGAGCTCCTCCCTGGCGGATGCCTCTGCTTCCCACATTCTCAGTGAAGCACCAGCAGCCAGGCTGCCCCCCCAACCCCGCCTTACCTGGGACCCCTCCCCAGCCCTACCTGGCTTGCTCCGGGGCCTCGCCCTCTGTGAGCCCGGCGAATGGTGGGGCTCCAGACGCATCTTCTCCAGATGCTGCTCCAGCACCACCGCCCGCTGCCGCTCCTCCTGCAGCTTCCGCTCCGACTCCACGAGCTTACTGCTGCTCTCTTCCATTCTGGGGATCAGAGGGCAGTGGCCGTCACACGCCGGGCCGCAGGCCACCTGCCACGGACCACCTGGCCCAGGCCAGGCGCCCTTACACCTGCTTCGTTCTCCGTGAGGCGGGCGAGTCCTACACTGCCACTGGCGCGACTTGGTCTTCATTTTTATTAGGATAACACTGGAATATGTATTTTAAAGTTGTACAGTTCTCTACATAGACAGCTACGTTGGCTTAGTGGACAGAAAGTTATGCTTCCAAGCCCAAGATGGGTGATTTGAATCTGCGGCCCTCAGGCCTGATTTAAATTGGTCTGTGGGTTTTTGTTTTTTTTTTCTTTGTCAAACATTCTTCTAAGTGGTATAGCACTGGTCTGTGCATTGCTGTACAGAGGTAACTTATGGTTGCTGTGACTCTGAACACTGTGACACTGTTATGCCAAATGTGATAATGGTTACCCATGGTGGACAGTGTTTGGTGGAGCTCCCCAGTTAAAACAAGCTTGGAAGCAGCAGTGGCATCCACTTCTGAAATGGCTTGCCTCTGAAAACTCTATGAATAGTGCTCAGGTCTTTTGTTCATAGGGTCGCTATGAGATGTCTACAACTCGACGGCACTTAACAACTACAGCTCTCTACAATGCTTACGACGGAGACACCGGCAGCCCTTTCTTACCCCCAATCCTGCTTACCAGATTCGACCGCTCACAGCGCTTTACTCTTCAAATAAACACTGTCATATTTCTACAGAAGGTTCCACTGTTATTTCCCCTAATGGTTTACATTTCATCTTTCACTGCCTGTCATACAACATGAGATTTCATTTTCTTATAGAATTTTCCCTCAAAAACAGCTTCGCCTTGCCATCTTCTGCTTCAGGCACCAGGAGCCAACCAATTGATCATATCTTTTATTGGTTTACCTGTTCACTGCCTCTCTCTCAGGCTGCAATGAAATAGCATTCTGGATTTCAATATTCTTAGCTTACAGACTGGAGCCTGCACTTCCCTACCTCTCAAATCAGTTAGAGTACACAGTTTTTCCTGATATTAGGTGGTAGATTGTTTCCTGTTGCTGCTGTAACAAACTGTCACACATTTAGTGGCTTAAAGTGACACCAATTTTCCACCTCAGAGTTCTGCAATTCAGGGCTCGGGCACACTCAGTTGGTTTCTTTGCTGTAGGTTCCACGAGGCTGGAGTCAAGGGGTCAGCTCACCTGGGCTCTTCCCTGGAGGTCTCAGGGAGAACTCAGGTCTGGGTCAATGTCAGACTCACATCCTTATTTTCTTTCATGGTGTCCATCTGGGTCATCCTCAGTGTCTAAATGCCACCTGACCGCCAGACTCTCTGCTTTGGCCTGTATCCAGGCTGGTCCTGACCCCGGCTGGAGAAGTTTCTATGCTTTTAAGGACTCAGGGATCACACTGGGCACATACAAATAATCCCCAATCATCCCCCTGGTTTAGATCCCTAAGCATAATTGTGTCTGCTAAATCTCTACTGCCATGTAATACTAAGTGCCCACAGGTCCACGTAATACGATGTTCCCGCAGGTATGGCAGCAGGGAGCAGGGCACTAAGGGTCAGAGCTGTGCCTGCAATGATTATTCGGAGTGGAGATGCACAGTATACGGGGGGTCCTATGTAGCCATGGGACTGAAAAATCCATGGATTGGAATCATTGCAATAAAAAATATTTAGTGGTCAAAACTCGATCAATGTTATATTATTGTTGTTGTTGTCATTGTGTGCTGTCGAGTTGGAACCAACCCATAGCTGACCCTCTGGCAGGTTTTCAGAGGTGGTTAATGACCTGGGAGGAGACTGTCCATCCTTCTCCTGCTGAGCTGCAGGTAGATTTGAACCACGTGCCTTCAGGATTGCAGCACAGCTTCTTACCACTGGGCTACCAGAGCACCATAAATATAATTGCATCTGGAAAATAAAAACCCCACCAAAACCAAGAGGGAGCCTAACGTGCCGTTTATATAGTGACTGAAGAGTGTCTGAGAGGATATGCATAGGGAATGTGTGCATGTCATTTTGACATTTTTTTTCCTTGCTATTTGGGTGAAAGTTCACCACTCTATTTTACAGAAGGTACTTGAACATTCGTGGATTCAGGTGTTTTAACACAACCCTGCAACAAATCTCCCAGATGCTGAGAAATGACTACACTGATAATTACTTTTCTTCCATAATTTTCTGCTTTTCCTAGAGTTAGTGGCTGTCTCCTGCCCACTGTCTCACTTCCTATGTTCCAAGCAGTGGAATAGGTAGGTGGGTTATATGGAATCTCTATGTTTACTTTTTTGAGAAAGTGCCAAACTGCCTTCCAGAGTGATTATATCATTTTACAATCCCAGCACACCTATATACTGTGCTTATCACAAATTCGTGAGCTTTGAAGGCCTTGCTATGTGGTTATTTCACACCAAGGATTTGTTTTCATTTCTCTAGGGCTGAGCTGTGAGTTGCAAGCGACTCGACGGCACATAACAACAACAACAGGGCTGAGCTGAGCAGAGCCTTTAGGCTTCTGTGGTACTGCAGTGGGAGAAGGACAACACCGCAGGTCATAAAGGTCCAGTCTCCCTGGGCTGTAACCCAAGTGAAGTGTTACTTACACAACATGCTAATCAGGGAGGGAGCCTCGGGAGGTGGTCTTTCCACCTTGGTGAAGGGCCAAAATAATACTGAACAACAACAGTTCTGAACAATATGCAGTAATAATACAATCTTGGCAAGGACAGAGTTCTAGAGAAGCATACATGTCCAAACACACATGGTCAAGCATGTTCTCTGAAACTACCAGAAAGACTAAAAAAAAAAAAACCCAAAAAACTAAAGGTTTATCAAAGTATGAAAGATAAATGGTAGTGATTTGCTACCACAGACTGAAAATATTTGAATAAAAAAAATTGATGGAATATGATGGAGTTGTGTTGGTCAACACGGTATCTTCTAGCCATTTACACACATAGCTATTTTAAATGAAAATTCACAATAACTTGTAAAATTAACGTTCAGTTATTCAGTCACCCTAACTGCATTTCAAGCGCTCAAGGGTCACACGTGGCAGTGGAAATCTGCTGTCAGGGACCACTCCAAAGTGCTAGAGTAATGATGTCAGTCTAGGCACTAAGGTGTATCTGGTCCAGGTCTTTGCAAGTGCTTGCTATGCATCAGAGAGCTAGACAATGACTAAGGATGACAGAAGAAGAATCAATGCCTTTGAGTTTGATACTGGAGAAGAGTATGGAACATACCATGGACCACCAAGAAAACAAACAAGTCTGTCTTGGAGAGCGTGAAACCAAGTGTCTCCTTGGAGGCAAGGACTTTGAAGCTTTGTCTCATATACTCTGGGCATGTGGCCAGAAGGGACCAGTCCTTGGAGAAGGGCATCATGCTTTGAAGGGTGGAGGGACAGAGCAGGAGAGGAAGACTCCAGATGAGATGGACTGGCATGGTAACAGAGATAATGGGGGTAGGTGTGTAGAAGACAGTGAGACTGGCTCACAGTAGGGCAGGGTTCAGAGCTATTGTGCAGAGGGTTGCTATGAGTCACAGGTGAAGCAATAGCACATAACAAGAACATGAAAGATTGGGTGACAAACCAATAAGACAAAAGAGGTTGTCAAAGATGTCCCACTGAAAAAGCTGGCCAAAACTGGTTCTGAAGAATGTTCTCTTCCAAGGAACTGATCATTTGTATAAAGAGATCTTATTTCAGCTAGTGACAGCACGAATGTATTTGCTTTCTATCAATGCATAAGCAATCGTCATGAGGTACATGGCTTAAAACAACACAAATTTGGAACCACAGGGAGGATGGAAGCCCAGGCCTGGCCTAGCTGGATTTTCTGCCCAGAGTCTAGTATGACTGAAATCAGTGTCAGAAGGAGCTGCTATCTCAGTCTCGGGCTTGGAGTCCTGTTCCACTGGAGTCACTCACTCAGGTTACTGGCAGAGTTCAGCTCCTTGTGGGCAGAGGCCTGGGATCCTCACGTTCTTGTTGGTTATTGGCTGGGCCCTGGTTTGGCTCCTGGGGTCCCACACACCATTCCCTGTCACGGGGCTCTGTTCACTAATCGACAGTTTGCTCCTTCAAGGGCGGCACTCTGCCTACTGCTAGCTTCTGACTTAAAGGGCTCAGGTGGTTAGGCCAGGCCCCACTCAGGTAACCTCCCTTTGATGAACACCAAGTCATCTGATTCATGACATCTCTGAGAGGCTGAACTGACAGGCCTGCCTTGTGCTTCCAGGTTTGCCAAGTTTTCCACCTTTGACAGGGTGTGGTCATGTCACTGTTCGACCGCTCATCTTGATGGAAAATGTTGAGTCTTCCTTCTCTGACAGTTTTGCCTTACATAGGTTCCAGCTTTTGTAGGCTGTACTGTATATATCTACACACACACACACACACACACACACACACACACACACACACACACTCTCTCTCATCCAAAGTAATGCAATCATGAGAATGTTATCCCATCCCTTCCCTTGGTTTGAGTGGAGGTTCAGCCTGCAGTCAAAGGCAGGGAAGTGTATGAGGCATGACCAACCAGGCTTGTAAATCGTGGAGATCATCTAAGAATTCTGCCCATCATTGTGAAAACAGGACAAAGAAAGGAAATAAAATGCAGTGGGAATATAAGGCATGGTATGTTTAAGCACCACAAAGTTCTTGGAGTCCAAGCCTACTCATCACTGCTACTGTGTACCACCAAGTGGGAACGGACTCATTGCAGACCCTCCAGTGAGTTTTCAGAGGCAGTAAATCACATGGGAGGAAATGTCTCTTTCTCCTGCAGAGCATCTGGTGGGTTCGAACAGCGTCCCTCTTCGGAATGAACAGCAGTGCGGCTCCTTACCACGAGGCCACCAGAACTCCCTTTTCAACACTAGAACGGCAAGACTCAGCATAAAGATTTAAACCATGTGATCCTTTTGGTCGATGCTGAGGAAGCATTTGGTCAAATCATTCACAGTCTGTGATTTTAAAATT